TATATAATGTATGTATATATATATATGTGTATATATATAATTATTTATAAGTAATTCTACAGCTAGCAGGGGGATACCACTGATCACATGCTTATTGTACTCATTCCTGTGCTTTCCTCCCTCTATCAACATATTTATACCTAGTCATCGATGCTGATCACATTTATTCTATCCTCCTCTGCCGGCAGAACCTACTTTGTGGAATTCCAATTTCCAGTCTCCTCCAAAAGCAAAGTGGGAGAGGTGTCTGTGGCCACTGAAATTACCCGGCTGGTGTCCAGCAAGATTGTGAATGGAGGTAAGTGAACATTAGCTGAAATCAGTTCTCTGTATATGTTGAGGGAATGATAGCAGGCAGAATGTGTAGGAGAGGAGTGTGGAGGGAATGATAGCAGGCAGAATGTGTAGGAGAGGAGTGTGGAGGGTATGACGGTGGGCAGTATGTACAGGAGAGGAGTGTGGAGGGTATGACAGGGGGCAGTATGTACAGGAGAGGAGTGTGGAGGGTATGACAGGGGGCAGTATGTACAGGAGAGGAGTGTGGAGGGTATGACGGGGGGCAGTATGTACAGGAGAGGAGTGCGGAGGATATGACAGGGGGCAGTATGTACAGGAGAGGAGTGTGGAGGGTATGACGGGGGGCAGTATGTACAGGAGAGGAGTGTGGAGGACATGGCAGTGAGAAGTATGTGCAGGGAAGGAGTGTGGGGTGTTTGACAGCAGGTAGTATGTGCAGGAGAGGAGTGTTGAACATTTGCTTTAGAAGTCACAGTACACGGCTATTATTCCTAAAATAAGAGACCGATTCAGCTCTTATTGATTTGATGTTCACCATTCCGAAGCGGCAGGATCAGCCTGTTGCGTCTGCCGGTTCAGTTTCCAGCCTCGGATCTTATAGGGCCCCTAAGACCATAAAGACCTTCCCTTTGCACCTGCTTTTCCAGGTATTTCTGTACAAGGGACTGTAAATGCTCTGATGGGCTATTTTCTCCCTCTAAGTGCTTACAATCTTGTGGGATAATGTGGAAATTGTATCAAAAATGTTACTCCTATATTACCCTACTGTAGAAGCGATGTTTGCATTTATGGATATATTGATTTTGCTATATTTTGTGCTTCTCTTTATGATCTTTTTGTTGTCGTGCATCCAGTGCAGATCTTAGTCATTGTTCCTTTTTTTTCTTTGTTGCAGTGGTGAAGTTTCAGCAGAAATTTGTGTTCCCCGTCCTGTTCAGCGGTCATGTGATCAAACACTGGTGGAGCACAGACCTGACCTTCACAGTTTTTCTGAGGAAGGGAACCCAGCAAAAGGTACTAGTTCACCTTAAAGGAAAACTCCACTTTGTCCAAAAATATAATCTATAAAATCACAGCCCGTACCATTGGGTAACTTACCGCTTCATTGTAGTTTGCAGACACTGTGATTTTCTAAAACTTCCGTATAAAATATAAATGTTCCAGAAACTATTTGGGCAACCATTGCTGAGTGCTCAACTAAAATATATTGACAATTTAATCTGCAAGCATTAGTACTTGGTACCTACTGGGGTTGCCTACCCTATCTCTTATTACAGAACATGTTTCCGAGGATGCTCAGTAGGTGACACTATGGTGCATAATTGGTGGTCGTGTCCCCAAATAACCTGCTACTGGTCCAGGGTCTACAGTCTGATTCATAGCCTATCTGACACAATTTGCATATCCTCAGCGGGTCACATGATTATACCTTCCTGACGAGAGTGTAGTAAAAAACTGAATAAAACTACTGTCCTCATTATTTTTTTAATGTTGCTGCAAAACAAACCATAGCAAGAACTTGGGGCTAAAAAAAACATTCACGTTCATGGCCTGAAAAGGAGACCTGAAAAAGGACTCGCGATCAACAAAAATGTACCTAAATTGTTAAAGTGACGCTAAACTCGGGAGTTAAATTCTAAATCCAGAGTTAGGGCTTACCGGTAACTCTATTTCCAATAGTCTTCCGGGAGAGCATCTGGAGATATGGAAGCAAAGGATGCTTCCATATCTCCTTATCTCAAGATGCTGTCCTGGAAGACGTTAGGGGGAAAAATACATTTCAAGTACCTTTTTAACTATTAACAACAATGTATCTTATTTGTGTATCACTCGGCTGTAGAGCCTTCAATCATCTCTGAATTGGTGCTGACACTGTCCTTCCTTCTGGAGGGGGGGGGCTACTTTTGTTCCCCATTGCCCCAGTAGGTGTTGCAAAGTAGTCACCGCCCCACGCTCCCGTGGTGGACTACAATCTCATGTTTAATTAGTTAAATTGTGTTGAGACTGTAGTCCATCACCGGAGTGAGCTTGGAGCAGTGACTACTTTACAACCCACACAGGGACCATGGGGAACAGACGTAGCCACCCTCCAGAAGGAAGGACAGTTTCAGCACCAATTCAGAGATGATTTGAGGAGCTTCAGCCGAGTGATACACAAATAAGATACATTTTTGTTAATAAATAAGGTGCTTGAATGTATTTTTAAGATTTAACTCCTGAGTTTAGTGTCACTTTAAAGGAGAACTATGAGGTGAGTGCTTTTCACTCACCTCATAGTTCTAGCCGACCTGTGACAATGAGACTGTCACAGGTCGGCTCAGTAGAACGGGAGGTGAGCGAACACATACCGGCGTTCGCTCACCTCTCGATCCTGTCACGGCTCTCTGCCTTGACAGGGGAGGGGCTGGATTCCCCTCTCCCCGCTCCGATCTGCCAGCGCTGACTGGTGGATCGGACGGGGGAGGGGGTGGGTACAGCTGGCTCTGCCTCTAGATAGGCAGAGCCAGCTGTCAGTCACGCAGCTTGGCGGATCCCGGCACAATTGTCAGGATCCGCTTCAGCTGCGGCGTCTCAGTATACCGCGAGCTACCGCTCGCGGTATACTGAGCCTAGGGTGACGGAGGACGCTAGTTTGTGTCCTCCCGTTACCCTAAGGAGAACTATGGGGAAAAGACTTAACCCCATAGTTCTCCTTTAAGGCTACTCTGTCTCTAACAATAAAATTCCAATAAAAGATCTAACTATAAGTAGAAAGTAAATACCTCTCCCACTGCTAGCGCTACCAAATGCCACTCAGACAAATCAGAGTAGTCGTCTCAAGAAGTCACACTTCTGGAACTGTCAATCTCCTGCTTTTACTTGAGTTTGCCATATACTAAGTGCAAGTGGTAAATATTACTTATGCACCTGTTATAGTTTGTGTTCCTTGGACATTCGAAGTAAAGAAAACCTGTACCAAACCCTGCACATTCCATGTAACAGTTTCTTGAATTCTTGGTTTCAGCCTTCTGCGCTTGGTTCTGCTGCGTTCTGTCTGCGTGATGTTCTCCGATCTGAGGACCTTTCCGTGTCCCACTTACTTCCAGTTCATAAGTCGGAGGGAGGACAGGAGATGGAAGATGTTGGGCCTCTTAAGGTAATTCCTATTTTAACATACTAAATATTAGGGATGTACCGATACTGCTGGTACTGAATATTTGGGCAAATACTCGTACTCCCCCCAGGGAAGGGAACATGGAGCTGCCGTCCTGGCCAATTAGGAAGCCGGGCAGCGGCTATTGACTTGCCGCCTGGCTTCCTGATTGGCCCGGGAAGCCGGCTCGATGCTGATTGGCTAGGAAGCCAGCTTCCCGGCCAATCGATGTTGATTGGCTTGATGCTAATTGGCTGGGAAACCCCTGATTGCCCGGGAAGCCAGCTCCATGCTAGCGGAAGTGCCTGTATCGGCATATCGGCGAGTACCGAAAGATAAATAGCTGTACTCCTACTCAATACCGAAAAAACGGTATCTGTGCATCCCTACTAAATATAGAAATTATTTTACTGCTGAGGGGATTGTTCTGTTTGTAGACAGCCTGGGACCATCTACAAAGCACAAAGTGCAAATAGGGAAATGTTGGGAAATTGTGGAAATTGCCGTTTCAAAAAGGAGAGAGGAATTCTGGGTAAATGCTATTCCTGCCTAGCAGACCTGTAAGTGAATGCCCTACCCACTCTGTGTTTAAAGCATGGCTAAACCCTAAACCAAAAATGTAATGTATTGCAGCTGACCAGTTGTGGTTGCCGTAGCTTTGTTTTGCTTTATTTTGATCTGGTAAACCTGCTAATTATGAACTTCCAGTTCTAAGGTGACAACGCTCACCACTTGTACTAAATATCTATGGAAGCAGCCATGGTTGTCACTCAGGCTGGGCTTTCAAACATGTCTTCCTCTTATTTGTGCTAGTTTGTGCAGTTAAGATAGTGACGAGGACACAGCATTTCTGGCAAGACCAACGGGGATTTTCTGTACTTGTTAAAAATGTTCCTAAACAAAAGAAAATTGGTGCAGCCATTACATCTAAGGACTGGTCAGCTGTGGTGTATGGCATTTCTGTCCTTGGGAGGGTGGCTACGTCTGTTCCCCATGGTCCCTGTGTGTGTTGTAAAGTAGTCACCGCTCCAAGCTCACTCCCGTGATGGACTACAATCTCATGTTTAATTTACTAATTTGTATTGAGATTGTAGTCCATCCTGGGATCACTGTTTAAAGGAGAACTATGGGGTTAAGTCTTTTCCCCATAGTTCTCCTTAGTGTAACGGGAGGACACAAACTAGCGTCCTCCCGTCACCCTAAGCTCAGTATACCGCGAGCTGTAGTTCGCGGTATACTGAGACGCCGCATCTGAAGCAGATCCCGACAATTGTGCGGGATCCGCCCAGCTGCGTGAGTGACAGCTGGCTCTGCCTATCTAGAGGCAGAGCCAGCTGTACCCGCCCCCTCCCCCGTCCGATCCACCAGTCAGCTCTGGCGGATCGGAGCGGGGAGGGGGGAATCCAGCCCCTCCCCTGTCACGGCAGAGAGCCGCGACAGGATCGAGAAGTGAGAGAACGCCGGTATGTGTTCCCTCACCTCCCGATCTACTGAGCCGACCTGTGACAGTCTCATTGTCACAGGTCGGCTAGAACTATGAGGTGAGTGAAAACCACTCCCCTCATAGTTCTCCTTTAAAGTTTGGCAAGCCATCTTCCTCCGAGTTTATTTGTGGTCTGTTTGCTGATAATGGTTGTGGTTTATGTAGACATTTCATGTCCTGTGTGTTGCATTCCACTCACAGGTCTCTGTGGACATTGTCGGAGATGGCCATGAATTCTCCAGGGTCCCCGAGAAGCAGTCAGGGGTGGCACACGAGGCCTCATCCACTTCCCTCAGACACAGCGTCAGAATTGCGGCACCTGAACACCAATCAGACAAGGAATCCTCTCCGGAACCAGAGCCCCTCACTTCCATCCATCCGCTGGATTCACCGGCTTCCCACCATGTTCCAAGAAAAGAACCTCAACCAGCCCTGTCCCAGGAGACGGCGGAGGAGAATGGGTTATTACTCCATGTGGTGCTCATGGTGGTCGAAGGGACAGGACTAATCCCGAGTCCAGACTCCACCACGTGTAACTCCTACCTCAACTGTAAGCTCTTCTCCAGTCTGGAGGCCACGCGCTCCAATGTCGTATGGGGCAGCAGCAAGCCCGTGTACAACTTCTCTCAGGTACGGTGGAGCTCTGTCGGCACATATAGGGGCAGGACTTGCAAAAGTGATATTTAATTATAGGTGGTGGCTATAGTGATAAATCAGTCCCTGGCTTCTTATTTGTCTTCAGAGCTCCAATAGTGAGATCTTCCTACCATACTTCCCAGCTCTTACTGCACACTTGGGAGTTTTGGGTGTTCCTATCCACCTCTGTGTGATTCTACTTCCGTTACATTCGCCATAATTGAAAAGCTAGCAGGGATGATGGGTGTAGCAGGTGTTTAGACGTCTGGAACTCAGCTCAGGGATTGCGGGAGTCTCTTATTATGGGCGCAGCAGGTGCACAGACCCGGGAAGTCTCGGCACAGGGGTGGTGGGAGTCTCATGATGGGCACAGCAGGTGTACAGACCCAGGAACTTGGCACAGGGATGAAGGGAACCCCTCATAATGGGCACAGCAGGTGCATGGACCCGGGAACCCGGCACAGGGATGGTGGGAACCGCTCATAATGGGCACAGCGGGTGTACAGACCCGGGAACCCGGCACAGGGATGGTGGGAACCGCTCATAATGGGCACAGCGGGTTTACAGACCTGAGATCTCACCAAAAGGAGTCTCCAAGAGATAGAAAAACTGTCAGGAAGTATAACTTTCCAGCACCTACTAAAATCTGATATCTCTTTTGGGTTGACTGACCCTTCAAGAGTTTAGGGGACACCCTCTGCTGCTCATGTTCTTTCACTTGCACAGGCTATAGGTAGGGTGAGCGATAGAAGCGTAGATTGTTTTGCATATTTGGGTCACATTTTGGCATTATCCTTCGTTTATGTAGTATGTTGTCCATCTGTTGTTGGTGAATAGTTGGTTGGTTGTTGGATGGCCCGTTGTTTCTCTCAGTGGCTGTTCCTCCCCTCAGATGGACAGGTTTTGGACAACTTGACTATTTCGGAATTACTGAATTCCTTTGCCTATTGATGGACGGTAAAGAGAATAGGATTTTTCTACCTACCTTAAATGTTTTTTCTTGTCCTTTTTAAAGGGGCACAGGTCTCTGTGTTTTCGGCCCCATGTGCTGCTTGTTTACAGAGCATGCTGAGGTAGAGGTAGGGTTATATAAGGATTAATTTGCAATCTTCCTACCTCCTGTAGGTGACAGGATAACCCAACATTTTTATTTCAGTTTTGTAGCATTGTTCTGGATAGAAAAAGAAGAAAAAATGCATATTTGTTATGTTGTCCTGTCTTGTGGAAGAGTTCTGAGCACTCAGTTATTATTAGTGTTCCCCAGACTGAACTCTGCCCCGCTGTTTTTCCTACAGGTTGCTCCTGTAAATCTGACAAGCCGACTGCTGGAAAGAATGAAGAACAATGTCATGATCGTTGAAGTGTGGAGCAAAGTGTCCAGCCCGGGATCTGACCAGCTCATGGGTCTTGTCAAGTTGCCCTTGCACCAGTTCTTTATGTCCTTCAGGTAAAACCAGAGCGGTATGGATGCTCTTTGTTATGGACCTTGCACTGCATTGGCACATCTCTGGACCTTGCACTGCAATGGCACATCTCTGGACCTTGCACTGCATTGGCGCATCTCTGGACCTTGCACTGCATTGGCGCATCTCTGGACCTTGCACTGCATTGGCGCATCTCTGGACCTTGCACTGCATTGGCGCATCTCTGGACCTTCCACTGCATTGGCGCATCTCTGGACCTTGCACTGCATTGGCACATCTCTGGACCTTGCACTGCATTGGCACATCTCTGGACCTTGCACTGCATTGGCACATCTCTGGACCTTGCACTGCATTGACACATCTATGGACCTTGCACTGCATTGGCACATCTATGGACCTTGCACTGCATTGGCACATCTATGGACCTTGCACTGCATTGGCACATCTATGGACCTTGCACTGCATTGGCACATCTATGGACCTTGCACTGCTTCTGTCCACTAGAAGGCTGCCCACCCTAATGGTCTTTTTATTCTACGTTTGTGTTGCAGGCTTCATACACAGGGGAGGTGGTTGCAGTTCAATTCTCCTTTAAAACATACAGGAAGGGCCCCTCTGGGTGTATAAGTGGAAGTCAAGTAAATGGCAATGTTGGCTCATCTGGCAACAAAGCCCATGAAAAATGCATCCATTTAAATCTGAAGTTCAATTTGCTTATATTTTGCCTTCCCTGGTTCCTCCAGGACTATTATTGTAGACACAGTTACATCATTACTGGATCTCTGTGCTTTTCTATGCAGTGAAGACAGATCAGCTGACCAATGAGTGCACGCCGTTTGTGAGGGTTATTAGAAATGAGTTATTAGTGCTGGGCTGCAGTGCCACGTATGGTGTATAGATCATACATCGGCAGCCAAAAATGGCCGTTTGCTCAAAAGTAAGACCTGGAGGGGGAGAGGGGGCAGATTTGTGGGGTAATTCCATTTTCTCACATTTAGTGAAAAAGCAAAATTACCCTTTTAAGGTTTATTGACCCGCATTGAAACTTTTTTTTTTGTCTGCAGTGATCAGAAAATTTGCCGTCTGTTGCTCCAGGCGCAGTATCCGGTGGTTGCTGTAGACAACTTTGTGCCGATCAGTGATGTCTTCAGTGGAACTGAACGGGGAAGACTCAAGGTGTTGCTTGCTATGGGGTCAGGTGACCAAGTCGTGGCACTTCAGAGGTTAAAGAATGATGAGGGGACATTAACAGCCCTTCTGCCCAGACCAGCACATTTCCTGGACCCTCCTCAGCCAACCGCAGAGGTACAAAGCCACCATTATCCTCTGATTGGAATGTATTGCTCTCTTTTAGTGTTGATCTGTAATATTGTATGACCTTCATATTTACATGTACAGTATACCTTGTGTGTGTGTTTTCTTTTCTTCTCTCTTTTCTTCTCTCCTTTTCTTCTCTCCTTTTTCTTCTCTCTTTTCTTCTCTCTTTTCTTCTCTCTTTTCTTCTCTCTTTTCTTCTCTCTTTTCCTCCCTCTCTCTCTCCCCCCCCTTCCTCTCTCTCTTCCCCTCTCTCTCTCTCCCCTTCCTCTCTCTCTCTCTCTCTCTCTCGTCAGTGTAGTCACATCCTCTGTGTTCTCTCCTCTCAGGTGTCTAGAGCTGCAGAGAGTGCGGTCGATCATGTGTTTGACATCCACGTAGAGAATGTGAAGGGCCTGACTCCTCTGCAGTCCACTGTGTGGGGAGAAGCGGACTGCTATGTGCAGTATTATTTCCCTGTGCAGACCCCGGTCACCGGACTAGAAGCCGAACTGCCAGAGAGAAGTATGTGTGTTGATTGAAAACGTAATTCTTTATTCTGCTGCACCAGCTAGTAATGAGGATTTAAAGCCAACACGTCATTACAATAAAAACCTAATGCCATGGCCCCTACTCTGTGCTCCACTTAACCTTATCTTCACTACATACTCTCCTGATCCCTGAGGCACTTGAAGACAGATCATAACCAGTATTGGTGCTTGGAAAAAATACTGCACATCGCAGGTTCATCCAGTTCAAACTACCTTTTATTTGTCCAGTAGCATGTAAGAGCAGTCCACCCACAGTCCTGAGAGTTGTATTTGCCAACGTTATTAATGCGTGCGCATCCCTCATCCTCCTTTGCTCACCCACCCCTAGGAAGACACACACATGAACCTGCAGGATGCAGCGTAAACACACAAAAAGTGATTGGTTCCGAATTTTATGGGAAGAAATCCTGTAAGTTAATCTGTACAAATGTGTTGCTATGAAAAAGATGAAGCTTTAAAACTACCTTTATAGCTTTCCTTTGAAATCCGCATTCCAAAAAGAACAGACACACTTGTTTACATACTTCTGTCGAGGTGCTCAAGCAAGGCCGGTAAGAGATGGTGGGCAGCTGTTAGCCGGTATGACCAAGCCTAGAAATTCAGGAAGTGAGTGTTCTCTAATATAACTATGTTTTCACAGAAGAGTTACAATTCCTGCTAATGAAGCTTCAAAGCCTTGCACTTGCAGACAAATCCTGGGCCATTCCGGCTGGTGGAGCTCCAACACTTTCCAGAAGTGTCAGAGCTACCTCCCACCCACCACAAATTTCTGTCGGCCATTAAATATGATGGGGTGCTTCACTGGCCAGTCGGAATGTGCAGCAAGAGGCGAGCAAGCTTTATCAGAAGAAGCTTTACCTTTCACAGCGTCCACAGATTTGGAAGTAACAGCAGGGTTTCAGGGTCTCCGAACTCTTGCTGGCTGCAGTTTTATAGTGTATATATTTTATGATGACGGAGTCACTTTAAGCTGAACTTGCCAAGGCGCAGTATGGAACTGCTGAAGTGAAAGATGTGAGTCTTTATGGTCATCCTATCTAGTTAGTCAGTGACCTGGAACAAGCATTCAGGACTTGAGTTACAAGTTCAGTCCACACACACACACACACACCACCCCTTGGCAGTTCCCACTATCCTCACCGGTGTATGGCATTCCCATTTTATTTACGTTTTTGTCCAAGCATTTACAGTCCATCTCGCTGCAACTTTCTCAGCTCCATTTCCCTAAACTTCCTGTCCAGTACAAGATCACAAGGAGCAGCGTAGTCTCCAGCAGCTGTCCATCTACTAGCATGGAGGAGGGAGATACAGGGGACTGACTCTCCTTGCTGTTCCTGTATGTTTGTGGAGACAAACACAGCTTACTAGCACACACAAGGGTTGCTCCATAGGACCCTGCAAAGGGAAAGGAGCCCCCCTTAAACAGGAATTTAGGGCCAGTGCTCGGGGGACCAGCTGATTGTGCGGGAAACAAGAACATTTAAACATCAGTGAGCAGCATTCCTTGTGATTTCATCAGCATTAGAAATTGCTTAAACATCTTTAATATCACTTTAAGTTCCTCGTTGCCTTCTTGTGTATTTCAGGTATCAGTCTGAAGCCTGTGCGGACAGCCACCACCCTGTGTGTACCCGATCCTGTCTTTAATGACCGGCAGAGCCACACTCTAGTTTCACCATCGGACACCCCAGTGCAGAGGCTGCTGCTCAGTGCGTACTCCACGCAGGGTCTCTCTGGAGGAGGAGGGGTGACGTTCGAAATCTGGTGTCGGTAAGCCTCTGTTATCGTCCGTAGCTATATTTGGCCTGGCTTGGCTGGGCCACACATTATTTTGACAGAGATTAGAACTGTATGTGTATATGGGCCCCTTAGAATTTGAAGAGATGGGGAGCTTAGAGCACCAAGGTAATGCAGACAGTCACCTCACTTCCGCATCAGTAATGATCCTTAATGACTTCGGTAACTAATAATGAAAAGTCCACGATACAAGGCTTTCTGTGCATATGCTGGCTTTTTGACAGTGTTCCCTATGGACAGTATTGCTGATGAGGAAAGAAGAATAATCATGGCGTCATCATCAGGGAAGATTGACTCCAAGACAGGTAACAGCGAATTGGCCAGCCAATGAGATCTATGGATACTTTTTCCATTTCCTTACAATGTAGGATTCCATACATTGAATGTTTAAAACCATTCACTTTCCAGACATTTGTACTTAAAGGACAACTTAACCTTTGACATACTCTGATTGGACAGTGACGTCACAATCCAACCCTTGTCCAATCATGGAACACAGAGTATTGCCCAAATTTAAGTGCTACAGGTCTCATAATTGTTTCCAAGAGCCACCCGCACTCCTTACGGTCTGCAACCTTTCAAATGGTGGTGGTGCTCATGGTGATCACATGGATGGTGCTGTGCAAAACTCAAAATAGTCTTAGACTATGTGGCTCTGATGAAGGGTCCCTGCAAGGTCCCGAAATGCTAGCTTCAGCTTCTAACGAGATGCTGTGGCATTCTTTAATAAACATATCAAAGAGATATTGAATTCATCTATGTGTGCTGTGACCTGCTGAGACTACAGGTCTCATAGACGCCAGTGCTACACTTGTATCTCTGCCACCTCTCCTCCAGGCCATTCACAAAATGGAGCCTTGGCTGTGTGTACTGTGAATGGCCTGGAGTAGAGGGGGGTGAAAATGCAACATAGCACTGGGGTCTATGAGACCTGTAGTGCTTATATCTGAGTGGGAGCTGTACGCTTCCCACAGCTATAGAATGAAGCCAGCATGGTGGGGGGGGAGCTTTTCTGTCAACAAAATGTAAAACTGCTGTAATAATGGTAAGTCCTTTGTGCCCGGAGTTGGGCACTAAAGTGGAACTCCAGGAATTGTTTGCGCATATACAGAGGCTTAAGGCATCATAGGACACCAGTTGTTCACATACCTTTTTATATATTCGCCCCCAAGGTTTTAGTCGCATGATCTTCATGTTCCTCACTGCCGGGAGCAATGCTGACCAATGGTAGGATTAGTGACATATTGTGTGTGATTTACTAACCTAAACACACGCACGCACCAGGTGTGTGTGCATTTTTACACAGCAAAACGTATTTATCAACCAAACACGAGCAACGTGTCACATTTTCACGCCGTTTTTATGTATTTACGTACGTGCGCGTCAATGTAGCATGCGCCATAGGCTACACGCCGCTCTTAATAGCGGCATGCAAGTCTCTAAAAGCATATTTCCACTAATGCCATATATGAAAAAATCATGCACATGATGCATATATAATGCTGCTTCACAGTTTAGACAAAAATGGTTAGCTCATGCATTTACATTCCTGCATTCATCAACGCAAGCAACACAACGTAGAGCTAATTTACACAACATCACCTTGCAATTCCTGCAGGGCTTTGCACAACACACCTGCTGGGTGTGTACACACTACAAAGGTGTCTAGATTCCACCAATAGATCATGCTGGGAGGGAACACACTACAGAGGTGTATACTTGTTCGTGGCGTGTTTATAAGGTTAGTAAATCAACCCCATTGTATCACTCCAGGACTATAAAATTTGCTGTTCTGTACTACAGCACCATGTTGGGTGCAGATTTTGGGCATGTGTGTGGGCAGTGCCAAAGGCATCACCAAGCTGTGTATTATGCCCTGGTCAGTATTCGGGAATACCCCGTAGTGAGTGTCAAGGGAACTGGAAGAGTCACAGTTGGCCATTGGGTGCTACTAAGAAATGCGGGCGTTTTATGGCATGGGGAGAGTGCACAGCTTCACATCACATCTACAACTTAGACTATACACATTGGTGAGGCTGCAGTTCAGTTTTAAGGATTTGCCCGGGTTTTGCGCATTCTTTCAAGCATGTCCAAGTGACAAAATGCATTTATTGAAGGCTGTTTGCGGTTTCTATGCTGATTCTAAATGCAGACGTCTTACGTGTCATATTTGTATCCCCTGCAGGTACTATTACCCCAATGTCAGGGACCAGATGGTGGCTAAAGGTGTGCTTCCATTATCCCGTCTGTGTGCCATGGTGACAATGCATCATCGAGAGGAAGTGGGGATCCAGGCGTTCTGTCTGCCGCTTACGCTGAGGAGTGAAAATGCAGCCGAAACTCATCCTTCCTCTTCTGGTAGCTATAACCTCCTATTTCTGTATCTTTTTACCCTCATATGGTCTACTAGTAATGTACCCACACCCAGATGAGGTGGACTTTAAAGGGAACACGATCCAGCCTAATGTACTGCTCAGATAACTGCATTGCTGAAGTGCAGTAATTGTGTATTCTTCAGACAGATCCCTGTAAAGCTGATTGGATCTTAGGTCCAGGCTGCACATGGGCCCTCAACATCTGCCCCTCTAAGCTCTTCCCCTCCTGACACTAAGCCCCACCCCCTGTCATTCTACTTTCCAAATACCAGTGCCTCTACTGCCACTGAAGTAGTGATTGGACAGTTAAATGATAAAGGTGGAGCTTAGTGTTGGAAGGGAAGGCGCTTAATCTTGAAGTCAAGGCCCCATTCGTACGGGAAACGGCCGGCACGTACAGCTCTGTGCTGCGTGCACTGCCATATCACTCAGCTCCCGGGAAGGACAGGTGCGTGTGATTTAGTACGCTGCCCGCGTCCTTATCTATGGGACTACGCAGCCGTACGCCGCCCTACGCTCGCACAACCTGCATTTGAGGTGAGCGTAGGGGTGCGAGTGACCGCGTAGTCCCATAAAGAAGGTCGGGGGCTGCGTACTAATCACACGCACCACCTGTCCTTCCCTTGAGCTGATCCATACAGCCGTGCACGCAGCATGGAGCTGTCCATGCCGGCCGATTCCCGTGTGAATGAGGCCCTAATGTACACCCTGGGCATAGAAGCAAAGTGAGCTTCCAAGGCCAGGTCAGGTTCACTTTGAAAGAAACCTCATAGTGAAACTGCTGACCTTCTGGTAATGCTAGTTTCACTGACTAGCAGTAAGAAGCGATGGGGTGGGAATAGGCAGGCCAAACCACAAAAGCTGAAGAAGATATTTTGTAACGCACCCCAGGTTTAGTTAACAAAAAGACACTGCCATAATAATGAGATGTGACCAGGTACATGGAGGTGTCTACTGTAAGGACCTTGAGAAAAAAGTAGACCACCAGCACTCCAAAGATATCGTTTTAAATCGTTGTGTTCATTTATTGATATATAGCGTCACATATATCAGGTTGCTGACGTTTTGGGGCCACACAGGGTCCCTTCATCAGGCACACACAGCGACATAGTGTCACTGTGAGTGCTGGTGATCTACTACTTTTTCAAGCTTGAACATACATGGCGCCATCCGTGTTTATCACTACGAGCACCACATCTTCTACCGGTTGTAGATGCTGAAAGGAGTACAGGGGACACATCTGTATACTATACTGTAAGGACCTGGAACCACCATAGAAGGTAGGGTTGGCTTCACTGTGGGATGCACATGTATTCTAGTAGATAACTGACCTTTTACTGCACACATTACCTGTATTCTTGCTGTGACCAGGCTGTTACAAAGCCGAAGGCACTGGCAACCGAGCGCATTGACTCTCGGATCAGATCAGTGAACGATCAGTGCACCTAACTGTTGCTATGTCATAACATGTCTCTATGAATCCAGTGTTGATACAACCACTAACTACTAAACCACTAACCACCACTAATTTTATTCTAATTACAGGTTTACTGAATGTAAATGTGACCTATAGAAGGTCAGTCAGAAACCCAGTAGGGATATTGGCTACACGCATGGTCTCCATATCTGTTCAGATCCATCGAGCCGCCGGGCTCCAGGCTGCTGCCAGGTACAGCTGCCCCTTTCCTCTATCAGTAGTCACTTGTCTCTATGGAGTCTATTGATAAACCATCTGAAGGACTGTTCACCCTGCGAATAGCTACAAATGTTCTCTCTGTGAGACTATATGCCAAAACGAACATTCTTTATTTTCTTTACAAGTGCAATGAATTTCTGCACTGCATTCAGGCAATATCGCATTATGGCCACTAGAGGGAGCTAAAGGAGCTTAGGAAATTAGCATTTAGGATCATCTAGTGGCCATAACCTGGTATTGCATGGGGAAAAAAACATTGCCTTGTTAAGAAGCATCTAAAGAGCTTTCGTTTTGGCATATATCCGCAGAGATCAAACATTTACAGATATTCGCAGTGTGAAGGGCCATGCGGATAGTTTATAAATACACCTTTTGGTTGGTCAGTTTAATGACCTTGTGCATGTCCTGTTTATAATCCTTTCTCAGAGCTCTGGCAGAGCAAGACCCGTCATTTCAGTACAGCGCGGACGTTGGGGTGAATGCCTTCGTCATCATTCGCCCTTCATTCTTACCAGAGATGGAGAGTCGCAGCACACGTACCGTGGCTCGCAGCTTCTGCCCGGAGTTTGACCATCATTCGGAGTTCCCCTGTAATATTCTGACCCAGAGGAGCAGCGGAGAGGCTTGTAGCCTGGCGGAGATCCTTCACTTCTCCGAGATTGTACTGTCCATTCACCACCAGAGCGTCGCATCTGGTAATCAATCTCTCTGTAGCCATCTTTGTTTACATTGGAATGTTCTATTGCTGATGTATTATGTAGAATTGTTGTACAGTGCTATCCTTCAGTCGGAGCAAGTGAATGTAGATTTAAAGTGAACCTGTCACCAAATGAGTGACTGATTTGATCTTTCGCTGGAGAGAAATCTCCAAATTCCCAGCTGATGCTGTTTTTAAGAACTGACACTTCTGGTAGTGTCAATCTCCTAATACCCCCCAACCTCCGGAGGAACCACTGAGCAATGGGGAGAAGCAGGAGATGGACTCCTTTCTTCTGGGTACTCTGCCAGTCTGCATGTTAAAAGGCAGGGCATCATCCTGAAAAGCTGCAGGTGCATGCTGTAGTAGGCATTTGGTCACTGTCTGCCCAACCGAAGCAATAAGCTGTCTGCCCACGTAGTGCAAAGCAGCAGGTTCTTTAATGCACCCTCCCCTGCACTGCATATTTGCGTTGGCGTCATTCACTCCCCCAAGGCCCCGTTCCAGTCTTGCCCCCCCCCCACTTCGAATATCCTCCAGAAATGAGTAGGGAACCCCTGTGTAATCTCCGAATCGGTCTTGTTGGAGCTTTCACAGGGCTATGGCAGCATGGGCAAACATGTAAAAGGAATAGGAGAGAGTCGCATTCCTCTCCCGGTAGTTTATTGGGGCTGCAGGGGAACAAATGGAAGGCATCTATGTGCTTCTGGGGAGTATTTAAATCTTTGCATGGGCAAAGCATGGGGTTCCTTGAAGTGCTGACTGTTACTATGTTAGTAGATGCAGACTTTTGATTTCCTCATTTACCATTGTTTCTTTTTTAAGTGTTCTGTTCTGTTTTGTCCATGCCCTGAGAGGCTCGTCACCTCTTGCTCACAAATCTTTTTTTGTCTTTAGCTGGTGTTGGCACAATTCATCCAACCTGCGATTACCATCTGGGTGTGGTGAGGATCCCAACTAGAGTTCTGCTTAGTAAAAGATCAGGTAATTGTATTATGCACCCCACAACACCGTGTAATTCCCTCATTGACCTTTTAGGAGAGAGGTACCCACATTACACTGCGGGCACAGAGAGTGAGCATAGGCAAAGGTTTGTATTTGCATACCACATGCATTCTGAGTTCAGAGGATCCCAGGGGTGCTCAGGACAAGCAGCTAAAGGAACGACAAGCTTCCTTGGTCGTCGGTTCTGAAACCCCCTACCACCGCATGCTGCTCCTCGCTCTTGGCCCATAGCTATAATCAGCAGACTTGCTAACTTGTAGTAAGGTACATGAGGCATAAAGGAGCCGTCCAGATCCAGCATCTGGGGAAACTGAACATTTCGAGGGTCTTCATCTCACAGCGGTGAAGCTTTGTGGAGAAAAGGAATTGGATTAGTGTGTTACGCACACATTTGATACAAAGCTGCTCCCGAAAAGACATTGAGGGGAATTTATCAGAACTGGAGCAGACAAAATCTGGGGCAGCTGTGCATGGCAACCAATCAGCTTCTCTCTTCAGTTTGTTCAGTTGAGATTTGAAAATGAAAGAGAGATGCTGATTGGTTTCTCTGCAAAGCTGCTCCAGATTCTGTCTGCTCCGGCTTGTCCCTGCTGCCGCTCCCGAAGCGATCCTCCCTTCCCCGAACTTCCTGGTTGCGAAGGAGGATACTGATGAAAAGGAGTCAATCAAATTGTTGGGCGGAGGGGAGGGGCGTGTCCTGCCACAGGACTGTGTGTGTCTATGGACGCACACAGCCGCTGCGAGCACAATGCCGCAGGGGTGCCTCCATTAGCCAATGGAGGCACCCGTGTAGGGAGCGGGGGGAAGATTGCTGCGGAACCCGCTAGAAAACGAGGAATTACAAACTTTTAAAGAAAAACGGCCTCAATCAAAGGTGGGTCTCCTTGTAGGAAATATTTTTTTAAAAAGGAGGCTTTAATATCACTTTAATAAAGTGTTTTATGTGCAACTATTATTGCCCCTTTAGGCAAAGATTTTCTTCTATAGCTGCACCCCAACAACAACTAAAAACTTTTTCCAAGAAACCTTTCTGTTTTTATGACATGCTTTATTTTAGACCCGCTGACATAGTTTCTCGGTATATTTGTTCTCTGTGCAATGCAGGCAGATCATGGCTGTTGGGAGGATGCTGTGATGTATTCAGGAAGCTATGTCCAGCAGCCTGCCGACCCCCTCCCACCAGCCATGATCTGCCTGCATTTCATAGAGAACAAATATACCAAGTGCCTCAATACTTCTCTCCGGAGCCCTCAGCTCTGATGGAAGCAGTGGGCTGGCTCTTGGGAGTAGTTATTCAAATCGCAAGATGGCTTGGTGGGTGGATGGAGAAGTGGGCATTCTTAGCCAGGCTGAATTTGCATGCAGACCACCCTAAGTACTTCCCACATGTGATGCTGAGCCTCCACGAGTGAAGAACGGTAATCCAGTGAATGCTGCAGCTTCTAATGCACATTGTGGGAAGCTCGCAGTGTACAGTGACATCAGGGTAAGCAACTCCAGTACAGAATTGGAGCTGGTACAAGTGTACAAGACTGAAGGGAAGGATGAAGTTCAGCTTTCGGTCTCAGTTTGTACCAGATGCCCCTCTATACAATTTCTTCCTTCTCCCCTTTATGTCCTTTGCCTCCAGTTGTAAATATTCATGCTTGCTCTTATCTTACTAGGAATTTCTGGCTGGTACCCAGTGATGTTACCCGAGGATTCCACTCTTCCCAGCACAGCAGGCATCATGAACAACGTGGTTGGAGGTTTGGAGCTTTCAGTGAACTTCACTCACCATTCAGACAGAGATCGGGCCCTGGAGGTGGCTCAAGGCTTAGGATGGAATGTGGAGGAGGAAGTCATTAGAAGTGTTGGCGATGGTTGGGAAAAGGAAGACTTGGTCAACTTGTCAGTCACCGTACCTAAAATCTGGCTCCCTGTTCACTGTCTCTTGCTCGCCGGACACAAACAAATCCATAAGAACATTTACTGCTACCTGCGGTACAAGCTGTACGATAGAGACGCAGTCTGCTCCCACTTGAGAAAACCGGCCTTGTCCGAGAATGGCCAACAGGCCACCATAGTGTTTGAGCAGACCAGGACTATAGAACTGATGAAGCATCAGCCATTGGTGTGGTACCTGCGAGAAGAGAAGCTGGAAATCCAGATCTGGCGCTCTTACGGGAAAGACACCAGCGGGCAAAGACCTCAAGATACTGACCGCCTTCTCGGCTGTGTTTATGTGGACATGACTGCTCTGGCAGAAACCACCTCCCGGACTCTCTCTGTTAGCGGTAGGTGATATAGAATTGGAATGATTGTAATCATGATCGTCCCCTCCAAACACCAGCTCAGCCTTATCTATATCTATGTTCGCTTTATATTTGCCGGTGCTGTTATCCCCATATTTTTAGGGAAGGGGTGGGGGGCAGCCGTAGCCTTTTAAAGTGAAGTCTAGCAGTAAATAAATGCTGCAAATTTTAAGGCGAGGAGCATGTTCAGCTTTTCCAGTGGTTTTAGTGTATTTTACAAGTATGTTTCACGTAAACCTGTGAGGAGAGAGTTTGAGTTACAAATTTGGAACAGGCATGCAGCCAGTGAATTCTAAAAGATCTAGGCTTGCCTAGTAGTTGCAGGTTTTCAACTCTAGGTAGCGTGACGGTGGGGCGGCCCCTTTTTCGGGACGCAGAAGCGATCTGGCGACAGGTAAGTCGCCAGAATCGCTTCTGTTGTAAAGCCGACAGTCAGCTCTACAAGTTTAAACACAGTCCCGGCGGCAATAGCTGTCGGGACTCTGTTTAAACAGCCCCGATGCTGGCGATGTACACTGTACGTCGTCAGTCACAAAGGGGTTAAGGAGAAGCTTTCCCTTTTGACCTGAATGGGCAAGGTGACAAGATCTCTATAGGGAGAGCAAAGAAATTGGTCACCCAAAGGGGCACCTGGCTCTGTTGCTGTCGTTCACTGATACTGCTGAGGCAGGCGAGTGTTTTGTTTGAGTCGGGTAAGCTTATTGTGCCTGGAATTGGGCTAATCACCATAGACTGACAGTCGCCTCTCTCTGCAGGGAGATGATCGGGAAGTGAGTGAGCGACGGTATGTGTTCCCTCACTTCCCGATCTATAGAGCCGACGTGTGACAGTTTAATTGTCACACGTCGGATCTAACTATGAGGATGAGTGGAAATCACTCACCTCATAGTTCTCCTTTTAATGACTGCCAGAAGGTAGCGATATTTTAATAACTTCATTGTGCGTTGGATGTGGGTAACCATCTCTCCTTCTTCCGCAGGTGTTTATCCGCTGTTTAAGCGAAATGTGCCGAACCTGCAGGGAGCAGCTTTGAGGGTTCATCTGTCACTGAGCTCAGCCTATCACCCGTCAGTGACTGCCCAGTGCACAAGCTCCGCAGAGGATCAGAGTCTCTCCGAGGAAGAGGCCGTACAGGACAGCTCGGGGGAAGATGACAGGAGAAAAGATGATCGTACTGAAACTAAGAAATCCTCTCCAAGGGTTGGCCATCCGCCCGCAGTCTCTGACAGTCAGCCAGTCTGTGTTGATATGGAAAACACGTTTGCTGTGAACATTGTTGTTGAACGTGCAATGCATCTCAGCTTAAAAGGTATGTGATCACACTAACATGGAGTGGGGGGGATTACACGCACACTTAGTGTGCGTGCATAGGATATTCTTGCCTTTTATTATACCTACGTTTATTGTAATAGGTGTTACAGGGACACCTTTGTTTTTATTAAAATAGTGTATTGACTTTATGCCGTATGTTGGTTGAGTAGTGCTGGCTCCTAGGTTTTTGAAGCTGACTCCTAGTTCTGTCCAGGCCTGTCTTACATCCACATGCAGCCGTCTCATAACTGCACCAGTAAATTGGGAAGGCCTGTACCCTGCACTTTCTTTTAGAAGACCCCCTTTGCTTTCTGTAAAATATGAAATGATCTTTTTGCAGGAACCCCACTGACAGAGCGACAAGTGCCCACGCCCAGCTGCTGCGTGTCATTTCCTGTCGCTGGTACTGCAACCCCTGTAACTACTCCAGTCATAGAGGACACCGATTCCCCGACGTGGAACTTCCAGCACCAGACAAGGTAAAGAGGCCTGTCAGTCTTCATCCGTTCCATTTCCATCCAGACCCTTATAGGTCTCAAAATACTCATTATCCTTGATAAATGGTAGTGCTGATTTAGATTTTAAAACTCTTATCTCTGGGCAACTAAGTTGTCCAGGAGATCAGATTTTGCAATTTTTCTGTTGTTCATTGAGGGCCGCAGCTTGATAAAAGTTATGCAACCTAGGTCATCAGCTATTTCTTTGCTTTTGCATTGGTGACCACCGCTATCAGTTTGTGGCCCTTCCCTTAGTCCCGAGAGTGTTCACTGAAGTCCTCGCGCCAGTTCTGGGGCTTTTCAGACATTTCAGTCATCAAATACCTGGACGATCTACTGCTGTGGGAGTAGACCTCTTTGACTTTGCACTCTAATATGTCTATCGCAGACCTTGAAGGGCTTCAGGTGGTTCCTGAACCTCGAGAAGCCATCATTAATTTCATTATGTCACTTGGAATTCTTTGGCTCTCACCTGGATACCTTTTCAGGTCTTCCTACCAAAGGGGAAGGTGACAATACTGCCAAATCAGAGTTGGCAACTTGATTCCCAACATTGGTCTTTCCTGCAGAGCTGCATGCAAGTTCTGGGATTGATGGTATCCACCTTCAAAGCTGACCCATTTCCTCAGTTCCACTCCAACTTTGCAATGGAGCAATCTCGTAGTATAAGGAACCTTTCTTGCTCATTAAATTCAGACACACTGAATTCATCTCGGGTCCACGAGTATTACTAGGGGCGCTTGGTAGCTCCTTCTGCTAAAGATACACACCATTTTTATTCTGCTTTAGCAGCAACAGATGATCCAGATATCTAATGACTGGGTTGCCTCTGAGATGAAGCAGACCAAGAACTGGTGTGAGGACCTTGGTGAAAGCTGTTGGGGCCTAGGCAAGGCTAAAGGAAAGGGCCACAAACTGATAGTGGTTGTTGCCCACAGCAAAGCGGAAAACCAAAGAAATCACTGAACACCAAGGCTGCTTAAAGGAGAACTATGGGGTTAAGGCTTTTCCCCATAGTTCTCCTTAGGGTAACAGGAGGACACAAACTAGCGTCCTCCCGTCACCCTAAGCTCAGTATATAGGGAGCTACAGCTCGCGGTATACTGAGACGCCGGAGCGGATCCCGACATCGTTTTCAAGATCCGCCCAGCTGCCTGAGTGACAGCTGGCTCTGCCTATCTAGAGGCAGAGCCAGCTGTACTCTCCCCCGTCCGTTCCGCCAGTCAGCGCTGGCGGAGTGGGGAGGGGGGGAATCCATCCCCTCCCCTGTCATGGCAGAGAGCCGTGACAGGATCGAGAAGTGAGCGAACACCGGCATGTGTTCGCTCACCTCCCGATCTACTGAGCCGACCTGTGACAGTCTCATTGTCACAGGTCGGCTAGAACTATGAGGTGAGTGAAAAGCACTCCCCTCATAGTTCTCCTTTTAAGTCTCATCAAGCTGTGTCCCTCAGTGGACTCAGAGAAAAGGATTTAATGGTAGTAAAAACATTATTATATCTCTTCTGTCCTGCTGTGCTCTTTGCACATCCAGTCCCTGCACATCATTGCAGCACGTTGGGTAATTTCCCTAGACTTCGATGGGTCCACATTCTGAATGCTGCAGTGTGCAAGTACTGGAAACATCAGGGCAGGGAGATCTGAGTACTTGCAGCATCTGATTGCCTGTCATAACAGGGGCAAGTGTCATTTATATATTACATTTGCCTCCTTCAAATGTGCATGAAGATGTTATTAAAGAGTTCTGGAATAACAGTTCAATTCTTGAAGCTAGGAGGGTTACCGATATGCAAATTAGCTAGCTTCCTACACCAGGTCACCAGGTACACTTGTTGGATTGTTGCCGCCATGCTGGAAGATTATTTGGGAGTCCGTGGGGGACATACTACAACATCAAAGTAAGGGTTGTTGGATCTTCTTCTTTTTTTTCTGTAGACTGACTAAAGAACTACTTCTGGACCCCCAGCAGACTTTAGTGTTCAAGGTGTGGCATCGAACAGGTGAGTAACAATGGAGAACGTGGTGCAGTATCTATAACAATATTCTTACCGGTTCCAAGGCCGGGCTGCTTTTCTTTTATTGCAGTGAAAGCTAAAACACATAAAGGATGTTTGTATTCACTCCTAATATTGTGTTTATAATACAGAAATGCCAAAAAGCTGTGACTGATACATTATACAATTCCTCTTGGAGAAAGCAGAGCACTTCCTGGTATGCGACTGTGCCTAGGCACTCCTTGAGCCTCCTAGCTGTATATCTGCAGTGCAAGATCTAAGGCACTGCTGCCTCTGACAGATTTGGGGATGTCACCACTGTGCTGCTCTCTGTTCTCCTCGCTAGAGAGGAAGCTGTAACTGACGACCTGCTGTGCAAGAATCTCTGCTTCATTCCTTCTGTGGATCTGTGCATCTTCCATCTGTCCTGTCTCCTAATTCTTACCTCACCGGTGATCATATCTCCAGCAATGAGTTGGTATTGAAAACAAAGCAGAAGGAGAGGTGCAGGAAGCACAGATCCACAGTATGGCTGAAGCAGAAAGAGGGAGATCCTTGTAGTGCAGCTGCTCAGGTACAGCTTCCTCTCCAGCAAGGACAGTGAGCAACACTGTAGTGGCATCACCAGATCTTGTGTCCCTATCTCGCATGCATACAGACATACTAGGGCCAGTGTAAACTGGAGCCCATTTTACCTAGCAGCATGTGTTTGGAGATGTGGGAGGAAGCTGGAGTACCCCGAGGAAACTGGTATTAGCACAGGGAACACATGAAGACAATGTCCAGGCCGGGATTCGAATCGAAAACCGCAGTGCTGCAAGGGAGAAGTGCTAACCGCTAAGCAGTACCTTATGATCTCATACTAAAGATATGCAGCTATGAGGCTGAAGTATTGCTTATTTTAGGAGGAATTCAAGACAAATATTACTGTTTCAGCCGACTGCTTAGGTATAAATTAGGGATGCACCGATATATCGGCCGAAAATGGCACTTTTGGCATAATGCCGAAAGAGCCATGTTTCGGCCGATACATCGGCGCATCCCTGGTTTCTTTTCTCCCTGCTGGGCGCTGTTCCAGCTGGGAGAAAAGAAAGTGACAGCCGGCTGAGCGCTGCAGGACGAGAGCGCTGTGAACGGCCGGCCTCTCTCCTCCCACACCGCTCAGCCGCCTATCACAGTCCGGCAGAGCGGTGTGGGGGCGGAGACAGCGCTGTCACAGGAGGCTGAGCTTTCCTCTCTACACCGCTCGATCAGCCTCCTGTGACAGCGTGTCAGAGAGAAAAGCAAGATACACACACTCAGTGATCGCTGAGTGTTTGTACATAATTGAGGACATGTTATGTTAACTATATCCTCAATTATGAATGAATGGGAGTGATCTACATCACTTCCTGTTCATTCATAATTGTGGTTATAGTAAACATGCCATGTACTCATGTTATCAATGATCAGGAACACTCAGAGGATTCCTGGTCATTGATAACAGGGGACACAGAAAAAGAGATTGAGGACTCTGTGTTCTCAATCTCTTTTTCTATTTTAAAAGGGAAATATCAGGGGTCTGTTTAGACCCCCAATATTTCCCCAAAGCCCCTAAAAGTAAAGTAAAAAATAAAAATATTTAATAAAAAATGAATTAATAAATAAAAATGAATATAAAAAATAAAATATAAAACAAATTATAAAAATAAAAAACATTTTCGGTTTCGGCCTGACATTTTTTTTATTTCGGTTTCGTTTCGGTTTTAAAATTTCCATTTCGGTGCACCCCTAGTACAAATAACACTTCCCTATTCCCTACAAAATAGCAGATCTTCATCTTTTGAGTCCAGGTACACTTAAAGTATTTAGCATAGTGCGAGAGCTTGCCTAATAATGTAGAAAACAAACATTGATTTTTTTAAGGGTGACCATGCTATTTTACCATCTCCCTGACCTTTATCCCCATGTGAATATCTCTATCACCCTCTATGACTGGCAGGAGACGTGGAGCGAGTGCTGGGCTTCGCCTCCGTGGACCTCTCTCCGCTGCTGTCCGGTTTCCAGTCTGTGTGTGGCTGGTATAATATTGGAGACTTTACCGGGCAGTGCCAGGGACAGATAAAAGTGTCCATCACACCTCTGGAGACGATCGCCTATCTGAAAGAGGAGAGACAGACAAGAAGCTGCACCGCAAACGTGCAATCTCAGGTGTGAACTGCTTGGCTGTGTTTATTACCACCAGTGTAACAATTGCTGGAATCTGTCATGAGTTTGGGTCCATTTTATATCAATTGTTTTATGTGAGGTCTTTTCTCTCTTCCTTACTACATGCCTACATGTATACGATCAACAGACATCAGTAGTTATCTGCTTTCAGAAGGTCTATCTCTGACTGAAATCTGATAAGGAAGCCTTTATCCCTCTGACTGCTTCAGTTCAGTGTGGGAGTTTAAGCTTCAGCCATTGAGGCCTGTAAACTTGTAAGCAGATGATGTCTAACCCACAACTCTGCCCCCAGATATATCTCAAACCTTGTCTCAAAGTATCACCCTAAGCGCCCCCTCCGCTCATCCCAAGACCTCCTGTTTTCCGGCTCCCTTGTCAAATCCTTCCATACTCTCCTCCAGGACTTCTCTAGAGTCTCTCCCATCCCCTGGAACAATTGTCCCCAACCTGTCAGTCTATCTCCCACCTTGACTGCCTTTAGGCTTTCCCTAAAGACCCATCTCTTCAGGGAAGCCTATCCCACCTCAACCTAACCACTGAACCAATACGTTCTCAAACGTTTCATCCCCACACAGCTACCTCTTCATGTATCACTTCTCCCTCCTCTAGTCATTATTAGTGATCAGTCCATGAAATGTTATAATTATAATTCTGCAGGTTACAGGCTTGTTCTTGTCTCTCTCTTCCAGGTGACCCCGCACACATCTTTCCTGTATCAGCCGAGCCCCATATTCAGCTTCCCTGTCCACCAAACAGGAAATGCCGGCAACTTCGTCACCCCTACTGAAAGGTGAGAAGCACATTACCACATATTGTACGGACATGAACCCGGCCTCCATTCATCTCAGGTTAGGGTTATAAGAATGGGATATTAGAAGAGAATTATTAGTTCTTTAATTTGCAGAATGGAACAGATTAAAAAATACCTTTTAAAATGTATGTAACCCCCTAACAGTGATAGTTCTCGTATTGCTGCATTTTGGTGTGCTAAATGTTTCCTTGAAAGTTTTTTTTTTTCTTTCTTCTATCTTTTCCATAAGTGCAAAATAATCAGAATAGTGTGTGTGCACACAGGGGGGGGGTTATAGAGATGGGATGGGGTACTGAGATTTGCTAGTGGTAATGTAAATGAGGGGAATGTGGAGAGGAGTTCTAGAGATGAGAAGTTGGGAGAGAGACGGGGAAGGGGTTATAGAGATGGAAAGAGGGTGGGGGGAGATACGGAGGGCCTAGGGAAATAAAGAAGGGTTATGGAGATGGGGCAGGGTTATGGGAAAGGGGAAGTTTAGATGGGTGGGTTTTATTGAGAGGGGTACGGCAATTGAGAGGGGTTATCGGGAAGGGGGAGCCAGATGGGGAGGTTTTATGGAGATGAGGAGGAATTATGGGGCAGGGAGATGGGGAGGTGTTATGGAGGTGGGGAGGAAGGGGGAGGCAAGATGGGGATAGGTTATGTAAATTAGGGGAATTGGAGGGAGTCGGTGGTTGAGGAGCTATCGAGATGAAATGGGGTTGTACCGATGGAAAAGGGTTATGGAGATGGGAAGGGCTTGGAGAAATAAAGAGAGGTTATGAAGATGGGGAGGGTGGAGAGGAGAGCAGGAAGGGAGATGGGGGAAGGGTTATAAAAATGGGGAGGGAGGGGTTATGGAGGTGAGAATAAATATAAAAATAACTCGGTACAGAAATAGGCAGAAGTTTTAAACATTGTTCCAAAAGTTTCAATTACCAAGTATGAATGCCTGCATTGCTTGTATTGCTCTCCAGCACTGTCTGCAAAGCCAAAGAATACTCTGCACGGTAGAATTGCTGCTTTCTTGGTGAGAACAGCGGCTTCCATACAGCGGTCCAACATGTCGCCTTGCCACCTTGTCAGTGCAACGCTTGCTAAAGCGAGCATCCAGTAAGGTGCCCCGAAGGTTGGGGAAATTACCACATGTCTGCAATCTTAATTGTGAAAGCAGAATGTCTTCCTGCCAGTCATTTGTAGATGGTCTATCCTACATAGTCTTATGGGGGGGGGGGATCTTAGAAAACCTAACTGTATCACTTTTCACTCTCAGACATCTAATGACAGTGGTAATGACAGCAGAGGTGACCTTTTAACAACTGTATTATATACAATATTTTGTATTTTAATTCTTTTAGGAGAGAAGTCTCATTCCCACCTGTTGGTAATGCAGAACACACGGAGACCATGAGACGTTTCCAGGAGACGCTACACCAAGCAGAACAGAACACGTGGAGCACAGAGCACCGGGATGTCTTGTCACAGTCTTCCCGCACGTCATTGCAGTCTGCACTCGGGTGAGGAAATGAGCCCTAAAAACATGGCTGCTGTTGATTGGATGCCAGCCATCAGACTTCTAACTAAAAACACCAGCTGAGCTGCAAAATGATTGGTTGGTATGCTTTTGAAAGGGTGAGCATACGCCATCTGGAAATCTCCTGCAAGACAAATGGGCATTGTAGGGCTTCATGAGGACATAATAGGGTGCTCAATGCCATGCAGACATCATTCCCAGTTTGGTGAAAATCTTTTGGCTGCTCCATTGCAGTTTTATGGTAAAAATGGGATGATATTGGATTAGATGATTTGATTGGTTAGAAAAATGTTTTCAGGAACGGTCAGGAGATTGTACAAATCTCCATTTCCATCATTTACCTGCATGGTGTGAGTACAAGGTAGCAATTAACCCTTTTGGACCTTATGATTTAAAGATGCCTATTAGAGGGTATATACAGTAAATTATTATTATTATTACATAGTATTTATATAGCGCCAACAGTTTGCACAGCGCTTTACAATGTAAGGAAGACATTACAATTACAATACAATACAAGACAAGATGGTAAGGAGGGCCCCGCCCCTGAGGGCTTACAGTCTAAAAGGGAGTGGGAAATGACACATGAGGAGATAGCTGTGTGGGGATGAATTGTTTGAGAACGTGATGGTTCAGTGGTTAGGTTGAGGTGGGATAGACTTCCCTGAAGAGATGAGTCTTTAGGGATCGCCTAAAGGCAGTCAAGGTGGGAGATAGACGGACAGGTTGGGGTAAAGAGTTCCAGAGGATGGGAGAGACTCTAGAGAAGTCCCGGAGGCGAGTATGGGAGGAGTTGACGAGGGAGCTGGAAAGCAGGAGGCCTTGGGAAGAGCGGAGGGGACGGTTAGGATTTTGAGACAAGGTTGGAGATGTATCCGGGGGCAGAGTTGTGGATGGCTTTATAAGTGATTGTTAATATATTTTGAATTTTATGTTCTGGGCGAGTGGAAGCCAGTGCAGGGATTGGCAGAGACGGGTGGGGGATGGAAGCCAGTGCAGGGATTGGCAGAGACGGGTGGGGGATGGAAGCCAGTGCAGGGATTGGCAGAGACGGGTGGGGGATGGAAGCCAGTGCAGGGATTGGCAGAGACGGGTGGGGGATGGAAGCCAGTGGAGGGATTGGCAGAGAGGGGTTGCAGACACTGAGCGGTTGGTTAGGTGGATGATTCTAGCAGCTGCATTCATGATAGACTGAAGGGGGGAGGAGCTTGTGTAGTGAAAGGCCAATGAGGGAGTTGCAATAGCCAAGACGGGAGATAACAAGGGAGTGTATGAGTAGTTTTGATATGTAGGCATATTTCGGTTTCTAAATTGTTCCGCGTTGCAGGAATTTGCATGGTTGTGGGACAGTTCTTTGTTTTCTTGTAGTTGATGAAAGGAGCCTAAAATACCTTCATTGGACAGATCATATAGAGCAGGGGTAGACAACCTCGGCAATACAGCTGTGGGGAAACTACAAATCCCATGAGGCATTGCAAGACTCTGACTGCCACAGACATGACTCCCAGAGACAGACCGAGATTTGTAGCTGGAGTGCCAAGGTTATTTACCCCTCTGATAGATCCCATAAGATTTCCATACTACAGAATCAGGTTGCACGCTTCTCATAACACTGTATGTGGCCGTATTGCATGAAAACATGAGGAAAATGTGTAATGTCTGCAAGGGCATAATCCTGAGCCCGCGCTCCATCACAAAGGCTCTCCCTCTCCACTAGCAGCTTTGACAAGTTTCTTATATTTTGTTCTAGGAAAAACCTTAATGAGTTGGATGACATCCAGAAGTATTTTAACCAGAAGCTGTACAGGAGCCTCCCGAGCACAGCGCCACCTGGAGGAACCACAGAACATAGCGCAGAGAAGAAGCCTCACATCCCCACTAGCTCTGAGGAGGATGCAGATACTCGGCTATTGCTGAAGAAATCCAGTCTGCTGGTTTCCCAAGTCAGCAACCTCATCACTGGTGAGAAATAGAGTTCAGCTATTGCTCGTTTTGTCTAGGGGGCAAAAATAAAGAAGAAATACTCACCTGGTTCTGGGTCCCACGTGGCTGCTCGACCGGTTCCCTCAGCCTCTTTTTCCCCGACTCTTAAGAACCTATGACGTCATCATGTCTAATACAGGACTATTGAATGTGAGGATACCGAGGTACATACCACAACAGAGTGGAGGGGGAGAGAGGTGAGCGGTCAGTGCCACAGGACCGAGGGTCAGGTGAGTATTTCTTTATTCTGTCCCCTAGAGAAAAACAAGCAAGTCAACCCATTTTTTTTTTAATCCTTGAATTCTTCTTTTAAAGGGAACATTTTCTTTGCCCATACGTCTTCCCCCACGCCCTACTTATCCATAAGGAGCAAAGAAAAAATACATTGGTATTTATGGTAGTGATGCACCGATACCGAGTATTTGGGTGAGAACCCGTACTTGCACAAATGCTCCGATACTGGAAATTCTGATCAGAGGAAGGTTTCCTCTGACTGGCAGTGCTGTAGGAGAACATGGAGCTGTCTTCCCGGGCAATCAGGAAGCCAGGTGGCGAGGACCCACCTCCTGGTTTCCTGATTGGCTGGGAAGCCGCCTCTATGCTGATTGGCTCAGAAGCGGGCTTTCCAGCCAATCAACATGGAGACGGTTTCCTGGCCAATCAGGGAGGCAGATCATTACTTGCATATCATTACCCGCCGCTCGGCTTCCCAATTGTCGGGAAGCCAGCTCCATGCCAGCGGAAGCACCGGTATCAGTACTCAGTAGCTGCGCGTACCGAAAGCAAAGTATCGTTACTTGTACTCTATACCGAAAAACCGGTATCAGTGCATCCCTAATTTACGAGTATGTGGGAGTCCCCCCCTCATCAAATGGGGTATGGGGGAGTCCCTCCAATCATCAAATGTTAGCATTTGATGATTGGCCTCTCAGACATCAGCATTGTCACATTGGGGCAGGAAGAGAGGTCTCGGCAGATGAACCTCCAGCAGATGAATAGAAAGGAAGGGAAGGATGTGCAGCTAGGGGGGGAGCTGGTGAACCTGCATGACCAAGGCACAGATTTACTTGAGCTCTTATCCACTCCAGGACTACAATATGTATATAAACAACACAGTCCTGAACGGGTTCTACCAAGATCACTGGTATTGTTTTTCAGCCAGTGCCTGGCTGTCACGTACAAGTGTTTTGGGTGGCTACACAGCCGCCCAATCACTTGTATTCGGTTGCTGAGTGCCCTTGTTAGTTATGGGCTTGTTAGCCCCCTATGGGATGAGCAGTAAGGGAAATTCAGTGTTTTTTTTTTTTTAAAGTACAAAAATTAAAGTTATGTATATAGAATAATAAAAATAAAACCTAAAGCCCCACGCCTCATGTACATTGTGTACTGGAATGACAGTATTCCATCAATAAATGGACTTTTGTTGGTTTTCACTTAAATGGTGTGCTGGCGACATCCTTTTGCACCCATGTACATTCAAGCGCAAATATGCATCTAGTGCGCCTACGCGGGAAAACGATTATTGCGCCACATGTGACATATCGCCAGGAATGTCAGAGTGCAAGCAATAATTCTAGGGCCATCACTCCCTGTTAACGCCAAATTATTGAGCAGTAAAGGATTTTAAAGCGCCATCTATGGGCAATTTTGGGTACTGTCGTTTTTACCATTTCACAGGCGCACACAATTTTAAGGATTGACATGTTTGGTATCTATTTACCCAACACAATGACGAAAGGTAAGAAAGATATACTCGCCTGTTTCTCGGTCCCGTTGGGCTGCTAGACCGGTCCCCGCAGCCTTTTCTCCCCCGGGCTCCAGCGTTCTAAGGTCCTCACGTCTAATACAAGTACATTGAGTTGTATTGGGTGTTGGTATGCTGAGGGACACTTCACAGCCAGGAGGGAGAGAGGTGAGCCAGCACCACCGCTGGACCTACGATCAGGTGAGCGTATCTGCTTTATTTTAGACCAAAACGAGCACTTAACTCTTGTAGTGCGGGGTAGCCCCACTGTAAGGGTTCATTTTCAAAATGCCCGGAGTTCTTCTTTAACCACTTCCGGGCCACAATACATCTAAAGACGGCGGCCGGCAGAAGTGGTTAAAACATGAACACGGCTGCTCTGCCAGCGATGGCTGTTAATATACAAGCGATTCGTACCGTGGGGCACCTGTTAATGTTTTACTTGCCATGGGATTTTACACAGACCTGTTGCTATACCCGGAATGAGCCTAGTGACAGTGTTTATGCCGTCAGGGTTCCATGTCTTCCATTGAGGATTTAATGATGAATAAAAATGATCATACCCTTTTATACAGGGAGCGGACTTAACGTGGACCTTGCACTAAAAATCACTTCAGCCCGCAGCTCTGCATACTGATATCAAATCATATTGCATTCATTATTAAACCAACTTGTTTTTCATTTACTTGCAAAAAGAGTTTATCCACTTCCTGGTCTTCTTGGGCATTACCCTTTTCCCCCCGAAAATAAGACCTAGTACTATTTTTGGGAATTGCTAAAATTTAAGACCTACCCCGAAAATAAGACCTAGTTGTGACCATTCCCAGGGTCGGTGGTGGCATAAGGGGGAACTTGAAGAGCTGCGGGAGAGAATCAGCGGTGCCAACGATGCCAGCGCTAGAGGAAGCGAGGCGGCAGCGGAGGGAGCAGAGCCGCATAAGCCAATGCCGCCTCTATAGCGCCGGCTCCTGTCACAGGCGGAGTGATACCAAATGCACTCCGCCTGTGAGGAATCCATAGTGAAAGCGCGCTTCGCTCATTCTGGCCAGCGATTGGTTTGCAAATTGCTCTTGGAAAGGTACGGCACCCCTGATTGCCCTGATCACAATATTTTAGTACATGAATAAGTGTGGATTGTTGTACATTAAAAAAAAATTTCAAAAAATAAGACCTACCCTGAAAATAGGACCTAGTGTGTTTTTCTGAGCCAGTGTCTTATTTTCAGGGAAACACGGTATGTGATGTGCCCAAGCGTTGCATCCTGGGAAGGTGACATCAGCAGAGCATTGCCGGGAAATCTCATCTGTAATCTCACGAGATCTCAGGGAAAGGCATTTTTCCTCCCCTGAGATGATGTGCATGGTCACATGTGCCTGAGTTCCAGGAAGTAAAAGGGGATCTAGTTACCTGCCCTTAGTAAACATGGCCACTGTCAGATAACTGTGGGGGGGGTAGAAATAGGGTTGCCACCTGTCCAGGATTCACCCGGACAGTTCGGGTTTTGAATGCTGTGTCCGGGTTTCATGGCAGCAGAAACCCGGACACAAGATGTCAGGCAGACAGGGGCAATGAAAATTAATATAGGGGCTACAGGCCCCCCACTGTACTGTCTCGACTGTGATATTTACATATGAATGGGTGGCGCTAATTACATATGAATAAGCCGCGACTCCAAAAATATGTCTACGCATCGCTAGAGTGTTTGGGTTTCGCTTGAAGAAAAAGGTGGCAACCCTAGGTAGAAAGAAGACGATATGCAAAGAATACAAAGCCGGCAGTTATCTAGAAGTATGCGTTTGTAGATTGTCCTTACCAAACATTTCTAAAGGTGTGTCTGCTATTATTTTAAAGATCTGGGTGAAGGTATGGGTGTGCTTTTTAAGTTTTTATTATTGTTTCTTCTCTCCCAGGCCTCCAGGAAAAGTCTGCGCTTCGAGAAGTGGCTCCCAGCACAGTAGATGGTGGCAGTAGTCATCGGCATCTAAGTGTATCCGGGTCAGAGGTCATTGGCGTACGTCCATCGGAGAATGTGTGGCCGGCCATCCACAAGGAGTTATCAGACGATGAGAATGAGGTTCACCATGTGGACACACCGCCATTCTCTGAAGCCGGATCTCCCATACGTAAGAAGGACAACATGGAAGACTTGTTAGACTACAATGAGAGACCGGGCAGCTTTGTTGGTAATCAGGAGGAGGAGCCTGAAGATGACCTTCAGCAGGACAGCGATGAGGACTATGAGGAAAGCGTCATCGAGATAAGGACTCTTAATGAAATCACCACTCTGACAGACAGAACCAGCCCATGGTCCAGTATGGTGTCCGAACCAGGACATGATCCGGAGACAGCCATGGAAGATGTTCCAACCAATGCAAATCTCCTAGAAAGGCTCAGTCTGGTCTCCTCGGACCTCCAGGATGACCAGAACAGTAATCCGAATACAGCCAGATCATGTGACTCTCACATGGCGGACAAATACCCTGAAATGACAGGCAATGGTTCAGACACACACGACCATGAGAGGTGGGTAGAGTCACAGAACATCGGATCACTGAGTCAGAGTTCATCAGATCTGTCAGACAGTGGCGAGGAGGACAGACTGAGGGAAGAGGAACTGACTCTAGAAGTAACTCGGCTGCCCACTGAGATGTCCTTGAGCGGCAGTGAACCTGATGAGTCTGGGGACCTTGTTATAGAACGAGAGGACACTGATGGAGAGATGAGAGAGGACTACAGGTCCGGATATCCATCATCCTCCTCACATCCTGAATCTTCTCCGAGAGACACCAGTCCGTCTGAGCAGAGCGTGGAGGAGCTGCCGGACGCAACTGACACCATCCCGCACTTTAATCTCCTGTATCCTTATCCCTGCTGAGACACCATAGGGAACCATGGGGCATGGGGGCTTTACAGCAGTCTCTGTACAGAGGAGCTTACACTCTAATGTCCCCTCCCCCCCAGTCACATCAGTCTCTGTACAGAGGAGCTTACACTCTAATGTCCCCTCCCCCCCAGTCACATCAGTCTCTGTACAGAGGAGCTTACACTCTAATGTCCCCTCCCCCCCAGTCACATCAGTCTCTGTACAGAGGAGCTTACACTCTAATGTCCCCTCCCCCCCAGTCACATCAGTCTCTGTACAGAGGAGCTTACACTCTAATGTCCCCTCCCCCCCAGTCACATCAGTCTCTGTACAGAGGAGCTTACACTCTAATGTCCCCTCCCCCCCAGTCACATCAGTCTCTGTACAGAGGAGCTTACACTCTAATGTCCCCTCCCCCCCAGTCACATCAGTCTCTGTACAGAGGAGCTTACACTCTAATGTCCCCTCCCCCCCAGTCACATCAGTCTCTGTACAGAGGAGCTTACACTCTAATGTCCCCTCCCCCCCAGTCACATCAGTCTCTGTACAGAGGAGCTTACACTCTAATGTCCCCTCCCCCCCAGTCACATCAGTCTCTGTACAGAGGAGCTTACACTCTAATGTCCCCTCCCCCCCAGTCACATCAGTCTCTGTACAGAGGAGCTTACACTCTAATGTCCCCTCCCCCCCAGTCACATCAGTCTCTGTACAGAGGAGCTTACACTCTAATGTCCCCTCCCCCCCAGTCACATCAGTCTCTGTACAGAGGAGCTTACACTCTAATGTCCCCTCCCCCCCAGTCACATCAGTCTCTGTACAGAGGAGCTTACACTCTAATGTCCCCTCCCCCCCAGTCACATCAGTCTCTGTACAGAGGAGCTTACACTCTAATGTCCCCTCCCCCCCAGTCACATCAGTCTCTGTACAGAGGAGCTTACACTCTAATGTCCCCTCCCCCCCAGTCACATCAGTCTCTGTACAGAGGAGCTTACACTCTAATGCCCCCCTCACAGTCACACCAGGAGGCCACAGAGGAGTGGAGCTCAGCACAGATAGTTAGATTTGATGCAGATATCATTGTTTCCTGTGCAGGTTATTATGACGGGTCACCCCCATTGCTTTCCAAATATCAGATCTTACGCCATTGAAAGTTTTTTAAGGTTGGTGAGAATGACGCCATGTTTGAATTAAAGGTGACCCGGGACTCTGGTTTCTGTGATGGAATATACACGGTACAGCACACGCAGGGATTTCGCTCCCTATTGTCTATCATGTTCTGACTTTCCTTAACAGCTTCCTGTCCAGATCAGATCCTATTCAGCTCCCAAATTTTTTTCTACCTCCTCAGCACTTAGAAGCGTCTATGCGTTTACTGAGCCAGGCTTCTCTCCCATCATCATCATCAGCTCAGAAGGTATGTCACCGTCATCTAATAACTGCTATAGGTGAACTACAAATCCAGTAAAGTTTCTGTCTCCAATTATGGGGCTGTATGGGCTGCTGCAAAGGGCAGCATAGTGATCCATGAAAATCTATTACATGTAAAGCTGAAGACTATTCTGCTCATATTTTAACTTCCCCGGTTGCTCCTCTCCCCCTCATCAACATGCTCATGAAGTTTTTGGATAAAAGCTTTCCATTGAAATACTTTGTATTAGACCTAGTGATGTCATCACTGGACTTTTCAGCTTCTCTATGCAATGCAAGCGGGTCATGGCTGGTGGGAGGGGCCTATATATAGTTTCCTGAAAACATCGCAGCACCCTGCCTCAGCTTTTCTCTCGAGAGGCTTCTGCAATGATGCAAGCGGTGGGCTGTCTCTGGAGAGGAGTTATGCAATTACCACGATCTTTTGATGGTTGGATGAAAGTCTGGAGGAGAGACTGTCCCTTAGCGGGCTACATGTACATTCAGACTGACCTAGGTAACTTTTAACGTGTGATGCTGAGCCTCCATGACTAAAAGAACTGAAATCTAATGAATAAAAGGTAGGGATGCACCGATACTAGTATTGGTGCCGGTATTCGGGTGAGTACTCATACTCGCCCAAATGCGCCGATACGCTCCCCGATACCAGAACTTCCGGTCAGAGGAAGATTTCCGCTGACCGGCAGTGTCCTAGGGGAACATGGAGCCAGCTTACCGCGCGATCAGTAAGCTGGGCGGCGACTAATGACCCGCCTCCTTGCTTCCTGATTGGCTGAACAGACGGCTCAATGCTGATTGGCTGGGAAGCTGGCTTTCCAGCCAATCAGCATGGAGCCGGCTTCATGACCAATCAGGAAGCCGGGACATTATTACGCGCCGCCCGATTGGTAATCTTGATTGGCCGGGAAGCCTGCTTGATGCTGATTGGCTGGGAAGCCAGTTTCTCGGCCAATCACAATAAAGCTGGCCAAACAACATATCATTACTCGTCGCCCGGCTACCTGATTGACCGGAAAGCCGGCTCCATGCCAGCGGAAGCATCGGTATCGGCGAGTACCGAAAGCAAAATATAGGCATTTGTACTTGATACCGAAAAACCGGTATCGGTGCATCCCTAAAAAAAGGGGCAGACCAGGGACAGTCAGACTGGGAAGGAAAAAGCTAGATAATGCTGAACGTCCTCCAGCCAGGAAATGAGGCGGGCTGTATCTGACTTACTGCAGCTTCTAATGTACATTGTGAGGAGTTCCCTCCCAGTGTGCAGTGATATCAGAGGAAGCCATTTTGGTCCAGGAGAGGAGCCGGTACAACTGTACAAGAGTGAAGGGAAGGCCGAAGATCACCTTTATAGATATTGCTGTCATTCTCTTTTTCCTCCACTAGGTGGCAGTCACGTCCTCTGTAAATGTCTTTCATTTCCGGTTAGCTGAAGAAAGTAAAAGCGGTCATTCACAATTGCCTGAAATGACTAGAATGTGGCAGAAAATGCAATCCCATGGACGGGGTCATCAGGAAATGGCTTTAGAATTTGGTGTCAATGGATTCAGTGTTTTCAGAGGCTATTGAGAGCAAAGTGAAATATGCCGCTTATTGTGTACAGATTTTCTCACTCCATAGCCAAGCAGCTCCTGTCTTCATTTCAGTGGAAATCTATATTTATCTGCTTCGTAGTATTGGAGGGCCTGACAATACAATCACTATTACATGGATCCGGGAATAGGAAACTGGTGTGCAGGGGGCTGTGTGCTTCCCGCTGTGTGCACCCCCTCCAGCTTACATTTTTGCAGCCCTTGACCAGTTTGGTCCAGGCTGGTCTGTACTGCTTAAAGATGACTCCTCTGTCCTGAATACTCTGAAATACTTTGCTGATCCTTCCTCAGGGATAAAATATTGTAAACTGCAAATGGGCAATTTACTTAATGCCCAACTCTGTCCTCAGCGCCCATGTGCCGATCACTTGGCATCCAACATCCTCTTCCTCTACAGTACTGTTTTCACCACAAGGTATCCTCAGTCGTCCAGTTTGGATGATAGCCAGAGCCACTCAACCTGGATAACTGAGGACGGCGTCTGTGTGCAGGGTGTCATTGGACCGCCCGCTAAGGGGGCATCAGCATGGCATCCTGCATTCAATGTGTGATGGTGCAGACAGTGGTAAAACAAGTGATGATGTCAGTACCGCGCTCTGCATTATTGAGGACTGCCCATTGACGAGTAAAGACCGTAGAGCAGGAGTAGCCAAATTTCAACCCTCCAGCTGTGGCAAAACTACACATCCCATCACGTATCTGCCTGTGGAAGTCATGCCTGTGATTGTCAGTCTTGCGATACTGAATGGGACTTGTAGTTTCACAAAAGCTGAAGGTCTGAAGATTGGCTATCCCTGCTCAACGGTCCTTACTCTGTCCTCAGTGATGCAGAGTGGCATTGATGTCATCAATAGTTTTACCACTCTCTGTACCATCACACAGTGAATGCAGAATGCCATGGTGATGCCTCCTCAGGGGGCAGGCCAATGACACCCGGCACACACAGGCTGTGCTCAGTCTTCCAAGTTAAGTAGCTCTGGGTGTCATCCAACCTGGACGTCTGAGGACATCTTGTGGTGAAAACAGTACCGTGGAGGCAGCTTTGGTTTGAAGGGGAGTATTGCTGACTGCTAGGGGGCCAACAAAAAGCCTAGAGTTAGGTTTTTAATGTGACCCTGCCGATGGTAGACAAACATGTGAACCAGCAACCCCCTATAAAAGATCATGTTAAAAAGATGTTCACCTGCCAGCTGCTACACTTCTACTGTGTACTGTAGTGACATAGCAGCCAGTGGGAGGAACCGGTGCCCAGAGGGGTGCATAGTGTACAACACATCCGAAAATGTCAGATAGCAGAGGTGCCAGCGGCACTGTAAAGAGTAAAGAATGGGCTCTCCACCCGCCACATGGGTATGTCCTTGATGATCTTTTACAGTTACTAGTTCATTCAACTAGTGACCGTAAATTTGGACCTCAAAATTTGACAAGCCTGCACCGCAGGGGTGATTTGTCAGCATCCACCACTCCTAAGTGAAGCATGTGCCTTCAATACTTCCTGTCACGTGACAACACTGGCGTTTGATTCTTTTATCCAAATATGTAATTGTTCACAATGCTGTCGTCTACATCTGTGCATATACTTACCTTCATTTCCCTGCTGCTCTGTTTGAGGAAAGAATGCTGTGTGTTGGCTTCAAGTAGATCCTAATTGGAGCTTTCTCAGCGCTGAGGACTTCCCCACCTCCACCTCACATGTGACAGCGCTGGACCAATTGCCAAGGAACATCCGCATCACCTGCATGGGAATAGCACATTCCCGGGATGAGCTGTGCTGGACATGCGTCATGCCAACCTGCCAGTCAAGATGGGTGAAGATGTCAGACCTGAGGGAAGACCAGGGGAAGATGATGGGACCATCGAGAGAGTGATGAAGAGATTGCGGCTATCAGTTCTCTGCAGTGGAGGTAAGTATTGGCACGTTTATTTATGCTTTAACCAGTTGCCGTCCGCCCGTTGCAAAAAAACAGACGGATGGCACAGTCGCATTGGCGCCTCCAGACGGCATTTTTTTTCTGATCGCGCGCGCCCGGGCAGAAAAAAACCCGTCCAATGTGAAGAGCCGTTACCGGCTGTTTCACATATAGCCGGTCCGTTGCAAAAAAACAGACGGATGGCACAGTCGCATTGGCGCCTCCAGACGGCATTTTTTTTCTGATCGCGCGCGCCCGGGCAGAAAAAAACCCGTCCAATGTGAAGAGCCGTTACCGGCTGTTTCACATATACCCGGTCGGCGGCTCTATAGCCTGCCGATCGGGTATATGTGCTGGCT